AAATGGGGTCTTTGCCTTGAAAATGACCTTACGGTATCATGTACCGTAAGGTCATTTTCAAGGCAAAGACCCCAAATTGTTCCTTGATTCCTATGACTATACTTCTCGACAAATTTTAAAATCTTGGTTGTTCAGAATTATGGCTCACTTTATATTTGTTTTTATATAAATTCTTGATCATATTGAACTTTTTTTATTAGTGTCTTATATGTATTCATGCAATAATTGAATATTATAAATAAAAACGAATTAATAAAGAAATCAATGTAAAAAATACCTCGCCAAAAGTTGTGATTTGTGCTAAACTGTGCATATAGCGTATCATTTTCCCAAAAAATTATTACTCTATGATTACAACCGTTATAATTATTGGGTGCTTCACATTTAATAGAGAGATTAGTCCAAATGTATATCTGTGCGAAACCAAACAAATCTGTAAGTAAAATTCATCATTTTAACATTACAGGATTTAATTTAATAATGTCATCAAAAATAAACTCTACTAGATGTAACTTATTAAAACATAATATATCAAGTTTCATTCAGCATAGTTATAACATATTACCTAGACAAGCCATGAATAAATAAGTTAATTACCTAATGAAACACATTTGAAAAACAAGAATCAATTTATTAAGATAAAAAATTGGCCGCGAAGAGAATTATTAAAATTTCTTTTTAGTACACATTGAAATTTTGTCAGAAAACTTTGATGATGCGTACGAAGCTTGTGCTATTTTTTATCCAGATAATACAAACTAAACAGTTTTCTAATATTAATTCATTTCATGTGCATAATATACGCTATGAAAATTTCACGTCTTTATTAATAATTGCCTTTACCACCAAAACAATGATTAGATCTGCATCAAACAATGCAAGCAAAATTATAATCTGAGTATTTTAAAAGTAGAATTTGAGTGTTCTTAAAGAAATTTTATTATTACTATTTCAGCTAGCCATAATTATAGCCTAGAATTTTAAAAAATATCAGTTTCTGGTTTACACGATCTTGTCGCACAGCGGCCTTATAATACAATGTATATTTATATTTTATGATCTGCTGAAAAATACATTTACTCAAAAATTTGCAGGAATAATTGTTAACAGAATATAAAATGTGAATTCAAATAGTTATATCCCATAAACTATCTTATATATTTGGTCATTCATTAACCCATTTGTTTACCCATCCTTTAACTTTTTTCAAGATTTCATTACTTTTCTGTTCATCATCGTCAACTTCTTTTTTTAAAGCTTTTTTAGATTTTTCATAACATATTTCGCACTCCTCTTTAAACGTTTTAAACATTATTAGTTCTAAATATGCAGTTGCTAATGCCAAACATAAGACTTTCTCATTCTCAATTCCAATATTTTCAAAATCTTTAAAGTCATTTTTACCGAACCAAGAATAAAACTTGTTAGATGGTAAAAATATACCATCAAATGATTGGAATTCAAGAAAATTATAAAGTGTTACGATTGTTGAAGGGTTCATTTTCTCAGAAGTGGCTTCAAATGCAGTTACAACGGGTTCGTTATATAAAGATGTGCAATTTGTTTTTGAGACAGCATTTGGATTACATCGCTTTGCTTTCGTTTCTCTGCGGTGATTTAACGCAGAATGATGATATGCTAATCGTTCAGAAGATTCTTCTTGCATACCCATCATTTTTGAGGAATTTGTAGATAGAATTGATGCACCTATTAACACGTTATACAGTTATATCTATTATGAAGTAAAATAATATCATTCTTATTTAATAATTTAATAAGTATCGGATAACTCACGTGAAATATATCGATCGTTTTTCTCTGTTTTAGAGTTAACAAACAAAGAATGAGTAAACCTTTTTGAGAAAGTTGATGAGAAACGATGTGAACGAGGAATTGAAGAAGATGTCCCTATTAATACATTATAGAGTTAAGTATGGTTGAAGTAAAATAACGTCATTCTTATTGCATAAGTTAATAAGTACCAGTTTTGGCAGGTTTTGACTGTATCAGTGTTGGTTTAGAAAATTTTGGTGGTGGAGTTATTACCATTCTGGAAGGAGCAGTGGGAGTTTTTGATTTAATATTAGGATTGGAATGTTTAGGTATGTTAGCATTTGAAGGTAATTTATTAATATTAAAAGGTGGCAGAGTAAGACAGGCTAATTGAGAAGGAGCAGGAACCATATTTGCTGGTAGTGTCTATATTTATTTATTTATTGTAATTAGAAAAATAGTATAAGATAAATGAGTTAATAACAATCTTTACAACAAACTTTTCCAACCTGTCGTCGGACTATCTTATCAGTCTGCTGTTTGCCGGTTATCTAGCATAATTCAAAAAAATCCATTTGTTTTGTTTAATCATTGTAAAAAAAAAATAAAATAAAATAAATACTAGCTACTAATTAAAAAAATAAAATAAAATAAAATAAAATAAAGCTTTCACATACCTTTTGTCTCACTAGTTTTATCTCTTTTTCTCGAAATGGAACATTATCATCTTTTGTTGATAATGTTGATTTTTGTTCATCGGTTATTGTTAAAGATAATGTTTGTACAGGAGGAATATTATCATGAACATTCGTCTTACCTGCAAATTTAAAACTTTCATGACTTTCTAATGATCTTGTGCTATACATTGAAGTTTTAGCACCTATAAACACATACAGTTAATGCTTGAATTAAAATAATATCATCTCATTGCGTAATAAATCAAATACAGCTTACGCGGAGATTTAGAAATAGATATCACATCCGTGGAACAATAGTGTCTTATATTAGCTATAAAAATATTATACAGCTAAGTCTAGTTTTAGTTTAAATAATAATTTGTTACATAATTACTTAATATACAACACCTGATGACCTAATTGGAACGACTCTTTGATTCGGAAAATCTTTAATTGCAGTTACTAATTCATTATCTCTTTCGTCAATTGCAAGAAAACTATTATATAACATAATTATAATATACAACACCTGATGACCTAATTGGAACGACTCTTTGATTCGGAAAATCTTTAATTGCAGTCACTAATTCATTGGTTCTTTCGTCAATTGCAAGAAAACTATTATATAATATCAATGCGATTATCATTAATTATTCATATAATTCATATGGGCGAAAGTTTTTGATAAAAAGATTCTGGCTATTAAAATTAAGCTATACAATAAAATAGTCAAATTTTTAAATAATTTGGAACGTATATATATAGAAAAATTATGCGATTTTTAAGCGGTTTTTATAGATGTTTCGTAAAGAATTCATACTGTAAGTGATTTATAACTAAGATTCATTACCATCGTAAATTTATGTATATATCAAATAAATGATTGTATGAAATATAATTAATTATAGTAATTTAATGACCAATCCAAAAAATTTCGCCCATATATTATCGAGAATTCATATTAAAAGTTACCTTGTGTACTTAGAAGCTAAACTATATTTTGTACCTAATTTCACAATTTGCTCACGAATAAATGAAACAGGTATTTGCTTCCCACTATTCTTTGGGTGCTTATGAATAAATGAAGTACGATCATCAAGATCCTGAATAAGCTTTCTAGCAGCAAGTGTATGCAATTTTGATCCTTGTAAAATTACTGGATCTATTGGGATAGAGAGTTTCATTGGACCATCATGAGACTTTGCACTCAATATAATTTCTTTACAAGCTTCAACATCTTTTTCTAAAATACAATAAACTATGAATCGGGCACCAGGATAAATTGGTGGAATTAAAAATGGTGCTTGTTGAACTTTGATAGCAGTAAAGATGTTTTGAGCAACTGGTGGTGGTTCAGAATTATCACTAAAGAAGCTAATTGTTGGTTTGTCCATCTTAACTGACTTAGCTTTCTTTGACAAAACATTTTCAAAAGTTTGATTAGTCCAAGTAATATGGTAATCCTTAATAGGAGGTTTTATGGCATTTTTTAGCATTCCGAGAATTTTTTTGTCCATTCGTTCATTATTCGTAACAAATTGCGCATATCCTTTACCAGCACGGGAAACAGATTCAACTAAATTATGACAAACTGAATCACCGATTCCAATTGAAAAGAACCTTAAATCATCCTTTTTCTTTTTTTCGCTAGATTTGATAAGTTTTGCAATTTGATCAACATTATTAACTTTACCATCAGTAAGAAGGAAAACAGAAGTTGGCATATCATTTCTTGAATTCTTAAGGACCCATTCTATAGGACTATAAATTTCGGTTCCACCATAATTTGCAGTCATTTCTTGAGCATGTTTGAAAGCTCTTAAAAAAGAATCTTCAGAATAAGGTTGACTTTTTTTAAATAGGGAATCAAAATGAGAACCAAATGATAACACATTAAAAAAACAATCCTCAGGTAATGAACGAAGCAATAATTGGAGTGCTTCAGATGCTTTTTTTATAGGTCCACCCTCCATCGAACCGGATCTATTAAGTATAATAACATAGAATTTATAAGCCTGCATATGATTATACGTATTCATATATGTGTTTTAAGTTTAGGTACTGTACCTATCAATTATGAAAATTAACTCTGACATTATTGTATTAATAGCAAACTTTGGTACCAAAGTTAACATAATGCAATTTGTTTCTGTTTGAGGATTGTATTCAACAAAAGCCCTTAAATAAAAAAATATATAAATAAATATGAAATATTATATCATAAATTTATATTATCTGCTGTAAATATTTATTATACTGATAAAACTATTACCTTGGATGATCAAGATCTGAACTTTTAATAACAAGGATGAAATCTTTTTCTAAATAAGTTATTTGTTCTGCCAAAGTAATCCTTGAAATATTCGGATTGTCATCAATATTTAATTCAGTTGAAATATGGTGTGATGGTGACTCAATACTTCTAATAACTGAAGTCATTCTACATATAATAGCAATATCTAAATAATAATTTGCTTCAGATGAATAAGATATTGCATCAGGTATAAGTTTTTTCCCATCATTTGCGGGAGAATAACCAGATGAACCATATCGTGGAGCGATTGCAGTAGGAAAAACAAATCGAACTTTTTCAGCTTCAGCATCATGTTTTAGTTCGGTTACATATGTAATTTTGATAACAACTGTTTGACCAGTAGTGATATTACCAACAGAACATTGGAAGATGTCTGGCTGGTGTTGTTCTAATAAATAAGCACCTTGACCTTGCTATATAAATGATGGCGTAAATAATTTATAATGTTTAAATATTATTTATTTTGTTTAGATTACCTGAATAGCTTTATCATATTCCTTTGCAGCCTGCTTAGCCTCTTTAACTACTCCCTTAATTTTCCTTTTTCCATCAATTTCCGCTTCAAATCCGCATACTGCAGTTGCTTCATGAAGTGGGAATTTGTAAATAGCTTCAATTGTATTTGATTCAGTATTTTTATAAGTTTGATAAACCGTTGCTGGGTTAAATAAATAAGACAATTATAATTTATGATAAAGTAATGATTAAATTTTAAAAATAAGTAAATTAATTACTTTCGGATATCATATCAACAACTAACAAAATTTAATAGTGTTAGTAATGTAGAAAATACATGTTATTTCATCCCACAAAAATGAAAAACTGAAGGAATATTTACTATTCGACTCAACGGAAACATTTTGTAAAGGAACTGGATAAGTGCAATAATCTACAACGAAAGTGAGCCCGTAATATTGCATAGCTTGATAAAATTATGTTGGGAAGTGGTAAGTACGGATGATACTTTACGACGAATTGTGCATAATTATATATCTGTGCACCCCTTGAATGTGTGCTAGGTTTGTGTCGCAGATTGACTGAACTACGAATCAGATTTCAAGAAAGTAACTTCAAAACAAACGTCCGTTTTGTCAAAAATCGCTTATTTCTCTAAATTCTAAACAAGAACCCTTTTGATGCTCTAATAAAAAGTTTTCATTGAGCAATTTTACTATGTAAATTATCTTCTTCTAACCCGTAACCCTAACCTTAACTCTAATAAATGAACATTAAAGAATTTTTACTGCGCACCAAACCTAGCATATCTGTCGAAATTCATTCGTATAAGGAAATACGTCGTCATTGATCTGATCTAAAATAGGAAATTTGCGTAAAGAAAAAAATAAACTTTGATCATTCGCAGGCACAGCATGGGGGTACAGCCAATTCGCAATTGGAGATCAAAAAATTATTCGGAATTGCCATCCGGCGGGCTCAAATCCTTAAATTTCCATTTTTGTAATTAAAAAATTAATTCAAAATCATATAATGCGAGCTGAAATTTTGTCGAATCTGCCTAGGGATGGCAACGGTTACGGTTATGACCGGTCATGACCGGTCATAACCGTAACCGATACCGGTCGGTCAGAGACCCTTGACCGACCGGTTAAAAATCTGACCAATAATAATTATAAAATTATTATAAAAATTAATAGAATAAATATCCTTATATATTTTACTAAGCAAGCTAGCTTTTGACTTCTAATAAACATTGTAGAAGATATTCTTAGAACTCTAACGCTGTAAAAATTTTTTCCAAATATTTCCGTTATTTCTCCATATTTTTTGTGAAAACTCCATAAATCTGCAACATGATTAGTGCTCTGAATCGGGTCGGGTCAACCCAAAACCTGACCCGACCCGAAAAATATCCAAATTAGAGATGCTCAAAATAAGCATTTTATATGTTTTTTGGGTTCTAATAGCAAATACATATGTTTATAATAGCAAGCACATATGTGTTTTTAAATAATAGTTTAAATAAACCCTCAAAAGATAGACAAGTATGCATCAATCAGATTTCTTCAAACGATCGACAAAATTTCAATTTTGATTGGTTAACAGTCGCAGATCTACAAAATTTTGGCCTGCATTACATAATTGTTTACTAAGTTCCGGCCGTAATTAACTTGTTGAATTTTTAAAAAATAAACCCGTATTATAGTAAACTTTTCCCAGTGTGATACAGTTTTTTTACATAGTGAAAATTAAAAATCATGTGTGTAACACAACTTTTACACTACAAACACAAAATCAATAAATTTTGGGTGAATTTACAGATAAGGGTCCAAAAATGAAATAATTGCAAATAAGGACCCAAAATGAAATAATTACAGATAAAGGCCCAATATTTGAAAATTATTACAATTAATAGCCTAAATATATTATCAAAATTGCTAGCCCATTTAAACATAATAGTATTCTGATTAATTGCCTCATTTCGTGATTAAATAGGTGTTTTAGAGCTATTATTTATTAGTCAGAATTAAAAAGAAAATGATCGACCAAACAGATTTTTGAGCAAAATGAAAAATTAACTGTGTGACCTAATAGCTTTTGGTGTCTCAGCCCCACTTCAAAATGAATACGATTTAAATATCACAAGGTCAAAGTACTGCTATTTATTTAACTAATAGCACAATAAACTTTACAAAGTATGATCTACATGCTTTAAATGCTTCTATAGAAATTAAACAAGTCAGATCATGAGGAGTCAGTCTTACTATATAAATGTAACCACTTTTGTGCTTGTTAGCTGAAATAGTAAAAGTATATATTCTGTTTAGTTTGTAAGCAAATAGCTAACAGCTTATTTTGTTTGTTCATTCTAAACTTATAAGAAGAAGAAAATTTGACAGAATAACTATCCAAGGCCAATAGATATTTTATGTTAATAAAATCATATCGATCTGTAATTTTGTATTTGACATAGTTTTTTTATAAGCAAGCAGGTTTTTAAGAAATTTATCAGAATAAATTTACAGTATAAATAATTGGTTGATGAATCAAATATATATTTTTATTGTGCATTTGAATTATATTTGAATTATTAATAGATTATTATTACATTTCTTATATTTACAACTAATAACAATATTACAATCATATTTGTATCATTGAAATGGGCCTAAATTATAGGTTCTTAAAAGTGCATAATTATTTTGGGCCTTATCTGTAATAATTTTCAAATATCAGGCCTCTATCTGTAATTATTTTCATTTTGGATCATTATTTGTAATTATTTTCATTTTCAGGCCCTTATTTGTAAATTTTCCCAAATTATTTTATATTAATTCTATGAATCATAGAATAAAATAAAAAAATAATTTTCATTGATACTGAATATGCAATACATGATTCTTACTGTAGTAGTTATAAGCAAATGCTTTTAGATTTGTTAACCAACTTTGATGATCATCATTACATGAATTTTTAAACGGTTAAGAGCAAAACAGGCGATTGAATTCATTTTTTTAAAAAAATTTAATATATTTGCCCTAAAATTTCAGGTCGAGTTCGAGTCAGGTTGGGTTAGGTTGGGTTTAGCTCTAACTCAAAAATTGGCAACCTGACCTAAACAGAAATTTTGGGTTGGGTTTGGGTTGGCTCATAATCTGACCCACCCTGACCCGTTTAGAGCACTAGTTATAATATGATTATCTAATCTCAGGTTCAGGAAAACTATCCCAGCATCACTATAAAAAAGTTACTGTCACATGATGATCAATAGTAGATTATTCAATAGCAAGTCTCACTTTAGTATATCATAACACAATCTAAAAGATCAAAACAAAACGTTTGTTTTTTAGAAAGTCACTTATTTTTCAAAAATTTGTATACAAAACCATCTTTTGTGCTCTAACATAAAATTTTTCTTGAGCAAATTTACTATATTTCTGTAACAGTTAGCCCTATAACCTTAACTTAAACGAACTTAAAGAGTTTTGATGCATTACAGTTACTAGCATGTAACAGTAACTTTTTTACAGCGATGCAGGAGAAGATGGTTCAGAGATGGCATATTATGTATGGTTGTAAGGTTGTAACTTACATACTTACCTTACATGTAAGCTACATGTAAATTACATCCAAAATTTGCAATATATAGTAAGTTATTTTATATACTATAATATGTATAATAAATTAACTAATTAGATTAAGGAGTTTGAAGTTAATTTTTTGGTTAACATCACCCCCAGCTGAAGTTTCCCCTGAAAAATGAACAGCCAATCAAAACGCTGGATGACTCTTGCCAGTCACCTGATTTACATCAATCAATGAAATTGCTTACCTTTGTCCATTTTTATATGTTCTTTACATATGTTCATTTCATTTTATCCCCCTCACCCCTCTCGAGAGTCCTGGCAAAATGATGTTAACCACAGAATCAACTTCAAACGGTCTAATGTATTCTTATATAATGTTTAGTATATATGTGATGCAATAAAAACTTGTTTCTTTATGACTATGCAAGTTGTAAAACTGTTAAGCTTTACAAAATAAATAAATAAGTAACTGCGCAACACAGTCATGCTAAACCAGAAATGGTTTTGTGTATAGAAGGTAAAGAAAAAATTTGTAAAAAATTTATTCATTAATCACTATGCTAACTTTAAATTGCCAGGTATGTATATACATATGTTGTAAATGGCAAGATCATCCTTTTCAAAAAAAGGTAGTGCTGCAGTAATTGGTTGTACGAATTCCCAGAATTCCTGGAATTCCTAGAATTCGTAGAATTCAAAGAATAGTTGGAATAGCTAGAATAGCAAGAATAACTAGAATAGCGAGAATAATTAAAATAGCTGGAATAATTAGAATTCGCATTATTCCTGTATATGTAAAAATTATTATATAAGTGGAGGTTCTCTCTAAAAATAAAACTCAACTTTCTGAAGTTCAAATTGAATAGTTCTAAGTAAACCTTCGAAATTTGAGTAGAAGCTTTTGTCTTTAAACTTTTGTGTCCTTTTCATTAAAAATCATTCATCATTTCGTAAATTATTGTCCATATGCCCATTGTAAATTATATTATCGAAATTAGTAAAAGAAAACCATTGTATTAGTAATCTACCCCTTATATATTAAAATCGATCCTAATTTAGTCTGTGATCAACATCATTTTACCTGATTCGTGATCCTGTGATACCGTGACCTTGTACCACAGTTCCGATTGGCTAATTTCAATCACGGGACTCCACCGCAGTACCTTGAAAAAGAAATTCTAATTAATTGATAATCCGCCTATGAACTGGAGAATAGGCGAAATGAGACGTATGCCATCTAAAACTTTTTTTCGTACTAAGTTAATGACACATGCCCATTAATTGAAAATTGTAGAGCTCGTCAAGATGCATCTAACGGTGGTTAGATCATCCAAACCGGCCGAGTGGATGGCAAGATATCATCGAAATACGATTGGCCAACTATATAAAAATCCGTGACGGAAATTACATATGAAAATCACCATCGGCGAAATGTGGCGTGCTCCCATCTAAAACTTTTTTTCGTACTAAGTTAACGACATATGCCCATTAATTAAAAATTATAGAGCTCGTCGAGACGCATCTAAC